ACCTCAATATCCGGGGGGTGTGGTCGAATTTAAAAAATCTGGGAATATATATTTCGCCCAACGGTCCAAGGCTTCAAAAACATTTGGAATTTTGAAAATCCATCAACAACATAAGTCACAAGAAATTTTCAAAATCTTGCATGTTTTTATTTATGGCCAAGTTCTATTGACCTTTGACCTCGGTTGGAGGTCAAACCAGTGAAAATCTGGGGTCGGAGGTATGGACACTTTTGTTCAGCACATCGAAGTCTACAACATATCAAAAATTCAGAAAATTCGACGGCAGGCAGTTTTCCCATAAGAAGGGTGCCTCCTCCTTTCAATATTCAATATTACTTTATCATGCACTTTTGCATGCCGTATTTGTTGGTGCACCAAAAACGGTATGAGATCAGTGCATTATTAAGTACTGACCATATTAAAATTAGCATGGGTAAACAATATGAGTCATCTTACAAATCTATATCTTTTAACAATTTAAATGCTACATATTCGTTCGCCTAAATTATTTAGTATGATATAATTAGAACTAATTTGCCGTTAATTTTTCAATAATTCCTGTCATTCAATAAACGTTTGTGTAAACTAAAAGATTTACGATGACTCACAGTGATTAAAATTGGGGGTGCTAAAGTGAGGATCATTAGCGCATTAAATAATACCCTATGTATTATTTAAGTTTATAGTTTTGCCAAGGTTTAACCAAACAGTTAGTGATTTTTGTAATATGAATGTATATTAAAGTGTGTTGGTAATAAATAATCCTCTTCTAAGTTCCACAAATCGTGTTTGTAATATGTATGTCTTTGCTAAATGAAAAATGCTAGGGATATATAATCATTTACTTTGGGCATGAAAACAGTACGGTGAATTAGTTATTAATTGCATAGTACGAGAGTGTTAACGAATTTTTCAATTTCTCCTTGAAGTAATTTGCATAAATTTTTAAATATTCGGCTAAATCGCCAAGTTACCATAAAAAAACTGCTCGAAACATAGTGTAAATAAAGGGGCCGGGGATTTGGGTGGAAATCGTCTCTAAGGGGCCGAAAAAAGGGGGATGTTCGTAGGTGTCCTTTGGAATAACCATCATAGAAAAGAGCCAGATAATGGTAAAGTCTCATGATGCTTCACCAATAGACTTTTTTGGGTTTGGATACCTCAAAAGAAAATTGTTTAACCGGCGTCCACGAAATTTTGACGGGCTCTGGAAAGTTATTCGAAAAGAGTGGCTCAAATTGACCGTGCCATGATCGAGCGCGTGATGACATCTTGGAAACGAAGGTGCCGACTAATAGTCAAACTATCTGGCTCTCATATCGAACAAACTAAAGATATCCACCGTCAATATAGATAAGGTAATTAAATTTATTAACGTGAGCAAAACGGAATCGTTCGCCCTCTGTACTTTTACTTCTTTATTCCCATTCGCAATCGAACTTACTCCACGTGTCCACCCGGTTTGAACTAAAGAGGGCCACACCCGCGCCAGCCTGGAAAGTTACACTGACTGGAATGGCACTCCCGGAAAGCAAAAATTGTTAACTACCATTCCCATCTCCATACCAGTCCAAAATTTATTTTTTATCTGGAGCAAATAACGCGCCGTCGCCGCCGATAAATCTCATTTCCTATCCTTATAACATTGGAGCGCGCCGCCGCCGAAAATTCATAAAAATTGACGCCACCAGCGTCAATTCGTCGGTCTCGGGCTCTTCACCAAAACCAGGTCGTCGAGGGTAGTGGGAGGGTTCAGTAAAAAAAATCGCGTGACATTGGTCAAATGCCACGTATGCTAACAAGACCGCTCCCCATGTGAATAGAGCACCTTCCGTGACCTTACTCTTAAAGTTTTGGACGAGTGTGTTCATTAGTCTAAAAAACCGGTCGAGGAAAATATTTATCCAGCACTCTAAATAAATTGACTTCGAGGCTTGGCTAATCTGGAAAATTTATTACAGGGTGATTACGTCCTTTTTACACAGTAGATAACCGGCCATAAAATTTCCCACGCACGATATTCATCCTTGGCATTTTAAACTTGAATCACTAAATTCCAACACAAAAAATTGGTTAAAGATGCCGGAGGTGCTGCCTACTGAAGCTGATCCACTCGCAAACAAACTTTCCGCCCGATGTTTTGTCATTTAGACAAACTTCAGATAAGCACGAAAGGACCTGGTGTTATTAGACAATGTCTCATGTACTAAACTAGAATTAGGAGCAAATATCTAAGCGTTGGTCCACCAGAGACGAAGACGCGACAACCCACAAAAAACGTAGCCAGGGTCGTTGCTCGAAAAATTGTTCTCGTGACAAATAAAGAAAACAGTAGACAGATGCAAGATGTCCTACGATACAAGATGTCAAACAACTCTTGGTTTCCTGAGTTTCCTCCAAACAAGGTTTCCTGGTCAACTAGTTATATAGTCATGCCGGGGCACGTGCGGGAGATTGAAAGTGAGACCAGAGGTGAGTGAGTGTTTTTCTCTCCTCTCCCACTGAATTTCCAGAGAAATTAAAGTTTCTCGAGGAGAGGGGGTGGGGGTGACACATTTTTGTGTTGAGTGTGTAAGGGGGAGTGAGAGGCGTGTCAGGGTTGGGTGGTTCTCTATAAAGAACCACCCCCCACTTTTTTTCACCCAAATCCCTGCAGGCCACGTTTTCCATCATCAACGTGGCCTGCAATATGTTTAGCAAACATATTGCTAATGGTTTTACTAATATTCTTTTTTTTTCTTGCAGGGTGAGGAGGAGGAACAAGTGCCCCGGATGGAATGAACAGGTGCTGCTCTCAGACCCTCCTGAAAAGCCACCCTGCAGTCGGTTACCACGCCGACTCTGGGGGAGGGGGCGGGACTGAGAGTTACTAGCAGTGCTTGTTTATGTGGTCAGTCCGTGGGCCTTGAACTGAGCCCTCACCCCCTGATATAAATACACACGTTGTGGTGGATAACGTGGCGTAGTTGAGTCCATTATTGGTAGGGGCTCTGCTGCGCGGTGGTGTGGCCCGGGGGACTTTCTCTGGTGGGGCTGAGACCCACTGAATCTCTCGGTAGTTGGTCTCAGCGTAGGTGAACCACTGGGGGAGTCTTGTCTTGGGCCTGTCATCGTGCGGTGGAGGATTCACTACCTTTTTGGACCACCACTCTGGGAGGCGTAGCAATACGCCACCAGTACTTTGTCGTCTGGAGAAGTGACCAAGTCTCTTTCTGGTCCTGACTCAATTCATAGTCAGGACCGGAGGATTTTTAAGTTAAGGGGGACTTATCTGTCTTAGGGGAGGTTTGGTATCAGCACATCAAGGGACGTGCCGTGTATTTGGGAGACTTCAATAAGCAGCATTTGCTTTCGCAGCTGATTAGTCCTGTCCAACAATGGCAGGATCGTCACCCCACCAAAATACATACATACATATATAGTCATGCCACATTAACTTCGAAAAGGTGATCAGAAGAAGGGTATGTAAGGTTCACGTCCCAAACATGAGTCACAAGCAAATAATAAACTTCATTCATCATCACTCATTATACTTCTTTCTCATTTTCATTTCATTTTACTTCATTCTTATTTAGCCCCATTTGGTGAAGAAGGAAAGGTATGAAAATGTTTATCATTAACTCTCATTCAACTAAAATGCGAAAGGCTTTCATTTATTCTCATGGACACGATGAGAATTTCATACCCATTCATGCTCTTTCTCTCTCGTAGTTGCTCATATGAATGAAAGTAAACAGGTATGGCGACAGATCGACAAGTCATTTACCAGATGTATGTGTGTACATACTTGTAGTCTTCTTTAAAAATGGAAGACTAGTGTACTAATTATTCAAAATAGCTTATGCAATTGCGGTAATTCAAAGGGTGGCTAAAAACAAACTTATACACCTTATACTTATTACTTTATTGTGGATAACGTTTCTCCTGCTTTATCGATTTTTTTAATTTTGGATTTACTGAACTTGGTAAGCATTATGGTTAGTCAGGAGTACAATTTTTAGTAAGACGTAGCAATTTAAAAAATGTTGTTAAAACAAAAACCGTCATAGGAAACTGCATAAATTTCTTAATTCGTAAAAGCGAGTCGTCCCTTTGGTGGGGGACCCTTCCATTCGTCTCCCATTGCTGAGAAAAAGTCTCCCTTATCATTGAACTAAAACACATTTACAGTCGTACTTTCCCTTAGCTGTTTACGGCTACGAGTGCCAGAGAGAATGATCTTGAATGAGTACTAATTTTATTTACTTTTTCGTTTTAAATTAAATTTAAGTTAATTCGCTAAGCTTACTACATGGGGCGAAATAACAATGTAATGAAAGTGACGTAGAACGAGCATGGGTGGTCGTGAATGAAATCTATCGTTCTGAAAATAGAATGGCTAATTTTGTGTGAAAATGATAATGCCTCCTTTGGAATGGTTGGCCTCTAATTTATTTAGAGTGTATGTATAAAAGTTTAAATAGTTTTACTAGCAGCAGTGCTTAGTAATAATTTCATGCTACTAAATTAATTCCCTCGTTGGCTTCGAAGAAAAACAACTCAGCCTTTTAATATTGGCTGACGTGTATCCGCAAGCTATAAAAATATTTCGGCTTTCCTATATAGAGAGATTTTTTCACATGATGTGTATTTGCTGACATGGCGTCTAACTATTGCCAACTCAATGTAATCCTCTCCATCATCCAAATATCTGTTGCCCAAAACACAAATGAAATTGTAAATTTTCAGGACAAAATAAACTCCTTTCAAACTTCCTGCTACTTAACCCTTTTCTCTGGCGATATTGAGTAAATGGAATCCTCCTCCCCTGGATATTATACATCCCAATGGCAACGGTAATCATGGCGAATAATTTTAAATTTACATCGTTAACAGTGGCGCAAGCCAATTTTATTAAAACCCTCTTCCATGGCACATATTTTGCAGGCACAATTTAATTTAAAATCAACTAAATCGAAATGCATAGTTGAAAATGGTAAATATTCACAAAAACAATGAAATTACAAGTTTCGTTTTGTATGATAAATTTCGAAACAAGGAACAACACATAGAGCAACTTCGCACTTGGGGCAGCAGTATGAAGTTCGCTTTTCTTTCTTCTCTTTGGCACAAACTTGACAACGTCTATAGCTTGACTTGTCACTTCCGGTCCTGATACATTTTGCAATAAAATGACGTTCTGTAAGCCGAAATGGGATTTCGTTTTGTGGAAGGGGCTTTGCTGAAGTTGTTCCTCCTGTGATCTCCAGCAATTGGCGCACAAGATTGAGCCGAAAATCCAAAAACGAATGCTTCTGGTGGTGTTCACGCATCATAATCAGGGCGTTGTAGAGGGCGAGGTCAACCAATCTCATGAACATTTTTTTGTACCTGTACAATATATTTACATATATACAAAATAATTCTATGAATTCATGAGTTATAAACTGCAGTTTTACCATTTATAGCTCCGTCGGTTTGTATCGTATTGATGGATTTGCATGTCAGATAAATCAATCCCACGAGCCAATTTATTGTATTCCACAACAGTCATCGCTTTCCGTTTTATGGCACCTGATCTCGTGGTCACTTCCATCATTTCATGCTTCATACCTGTTGAAATCATTTTCACTTGGCGTCGATCTTTCCATGATCCTAGTAGAATTCCGCCATTTGCTCCTTCCGAATGAAATGCAATGACATCCCCTTTTTTCTGCTGTGATATCTTTGGTAAATTTTTACGGTTACATCGAACCGTCCCACAGATATACGTACTTTTGGACAATAATATTTTTGCAGCAGCCGGGCTTGTGAAATAGTTATCAGCAAAAATGACGTGATTCTTACTAAAATAAGGTTCCACCAACTCTAACAGAATTGTTCCTCCGTAGCCATATTCTTTCATGGAAAACTTCAGCTCTTCGCTTCCTTTTCCTGCGTAGATTTTAGAATTGAGAACAAATCCCGTCCTTGCATCAACCACGGAAAAAGTCTTCATTCCGAATCTGCTTCGTTTAGAAGGAATGTATTGCTTCTAGCTCAGTCGACCTTTGAATTTGATGAGAGATTCGTCAATGGACATATTCTTATACGGAATCAATATTTCAGAAAACGTTTTCATAAAAATGTTCCATAAAGCTCTAATTTTTTGAAGTTGATCCCCTGGTTGTTGAGCATTATTTTCAGAAAAATGTAGATAGCGGTGCATTTCAAAAAATCGGTCCGAAGTCATTATCTGAGGGATGACAAGTGACTTTAGAAGTGGATCCTTTGACCAATAGTGAGCGTATTCAGGTTTACGGTCGATCCCCATCAAAATGCGAATAGATAAATATCGAATAATCTCTCTACTCTGAACCGGGCACCACTTGCGTTGACGACGGGATAAGGAATTGCTGCTGGAAATTGTTGCATCAGCAAAGTTGTTGAACCCACTGGTGATCAGTTCAATGGCGTTGGCAGGGAAGGTTGCCTGGAAAAAGTCGAATTCCGTAGTGGACGCGTCAAATTCCAACTGCCACCCAGATTGCGAATCATCAAAGGGCTCAAGGTTGACATTATCACCACCAGCAATCCAGTTCCATGAGACTTGTGTGACTGGGTTGGGAGAAGGTGGTGATGGACCTGGCGTATCGTCGTTGTGGCGCACTGAATTTGTGAAAGTTTTACAAATTATTTATACATATTTCAATGCACACCCTCGAAAAATGATAATATTGCTCTCACTCATTAGATCTTCCAGAAATTCATCCTCGGATTTTGCATCACCATCCAGCTCTAAATTTGCAAACATGTCCTCTGATTCTCCCCCATGTCATTGATTTCTTCCATTATGTCATTGTCCACTTCCTCCTCTGAACTACTTTCCTCCGACTCCTCCGAACTTGACTCCACCACCGCTCGACCTGTACGCCTGGACATTATCTTCAAAAACAGTGCAAATTATAATTTCCGTTCATTATTATGATAAAATATAACTTACTTCAATCCTCTCGCAAAATGGAATCCAACACGAAGCAAAATTACAATAAGTCGGAACGTTTTTTTGAAATTTTGGCGACTGGGAGAAATACTACACCCAGCCCACGGGAGAGAATTTGTTGTTTGTGGGAAATATATCTCCCACGCCATGGTTACGACGTGGTCAGGACTGGGAACAATACTTCCCAACCCAAGGAATGGCTTTGTGTTTGTACTAACAATATATATCCCACCCCACGGGAGCGCCATGGTTTTAGTGGGAACAATACTTCCCACGCCAGGGAAAAGGGTTAAGCATCGCTCACTTTGGAAATCTTCACATTCCCTCAAATATTCATAGCCCATACGAACTTACCAAATATATTCCAGTCGTTACAGATTATAACGCGTGAGTCAACATGATTCAAAATTTTACTAAAGTATTTAGTTGTTACATAGTCACATAATAAATTTCTTATTTCTTTCAGAGTGAACGTTAGCTTTATCCAAGCCAATTTTATAACTCAACCCATTTACCCCATATTGCGTCCTCTACACTCCGGAGCGATTTGTCTCATATACGTTGTAATCATCCAGCCAGGTTTTACTCTCGACTACAATACCATCCTGATTTTAACTGGCCACGAGAACCTGACCCCCAATGGGATTCGAAACCTCACAACAAATACTTTTCCTACTTTGATTCCACCCTCGTTGTCTTTTTTGGGCTGGATGGTGCAAGTGGACTTCAGGGCTCACGACGAATCTCCGACCCTGCACTCTCATTCTTCGCGCAGCCCATCTGTCTACTATTTCCCCTAGAAATCAGTGATGAAAACAAGAGTTTTTCTATTAGCGATAATTTCACCGCGTTTTGCAGAGCGGCGAGGATTCCTGCAATTATACTGTTGGACCGCCTTACGACAGACTGCATGAAATTGGTACTACCAATTGACTTTGAAATGTACGTGGAAAATTTCAGCGGAAAATTCACTAGCAAAAGGCAGGAATTTTTTCACGTTGTCCAAGTTATCAGAAAATACTCACGTAGCGATGCACTAAACGAGGCACTAATTTATATGCTTCAACCCGAAAATATGACCCATGCTCCCAACCCAGTCATCATATACACAATTACTTCACCTCCAGGCTACGACGCAGAGAATTATGTTGTGGACCATTTTGCAATTCTGATGGGAAATTGGTCCTTCACATTTGTCACGTGCTCATCACTAAGTCAGGGTAGGATCAATTATTGGGGCTATTTGAAACCGTTCCATTCCTATGTTTATTACGCTCTAACGACTTTGTACATCTTCTTAATGATCGTCCTTGTTGGGCAGATTTACGCAAAGTACAGACTGTCCATGCAATGGCATGAATTAGTTTACGTAATCGTGGTGGTGAATACTTACAAAAGTATCGTCACTGAAGACACCATAGCACCGCTTGTCTCCAGCCCCACACGGACTTTTGATCAGCTAATTGGTCACGGCAGGTTTCGTATCTATTTACAACATTAAGGCCATCCAGTCGGAGGTACTAAGTATAAATGCCATGCCCGTAGGGGACATAATGAAATGGCGGCCTGAGAGTGATTTTGATGCAGAAATTGCCGGTTCATTTTGGGATTGGATGCACGCACTTTCGCACGACCAGAATTTTGTAGTTCGACAAGCTCAGGCACGTATCTTTGCTCGCTACCGGGAAAATTTACAGGTAATCCAATTAATCATTATTCAGAACACCAGTGTCAACAATACGACTCGAGTGCATATGTCGATCATAACCTTGTCAGTCAAGTTCAAAGAAAGTATATGAAACTAGGCATTAGCAGTCTTGCTAAAATGTCGAATATTGCGAATGCCTCACAAATTGCCAGGTTTGTTGCGAGGTGCGACCAAACTGCGTTTGTCGCACCCACCAGATACATCAAGTCGAGAGAATATTTTCTCTCGACTATTTTTGGCGGGGAAAGTTCCCATTTAAACAGAAAACCGTATTTAGAAAGTACTGACACTTTTTTTCACGTAAGGTTTATATACTGGTGTATAAAGTTGGTGGGGTTGGCGCAAGATTTAAAATAAGGATTGCTCGACTTCTGGAGGGCGGACTTTTTAAGTTTTGGGAAGATTTGTTCGTTAATCCGTTGTCAAAGGAGGGTATTGGGAGTCAAGGAGGGAGCAAATTTTTCCAACAAGAACTGAGTTCTAATATTCTTACAATTTTTGTCTTCATAGGCATCGGAGTGAGCATTTGCGCTTTGGCATTAATCGGAGAGCTTGTGTTTAAGAGATGGATGCGACTTAAGGAACGGTTAAGAGATTTCATGGTCCGTTGTCGTAGTTGATTTCATAAGTGGTGGCAAACTAAGAGGAAAAGGGATCAGAGTTAAGTAAACTTTTGATGATTCACTTATCTTCGGTCAGAGTCAGGAATATAGTGTTATTCGAACCCCAGCCAGTGCGAACTCGCTGGGGCTCTTAACGTTCTACGAATTCGACCCATTCTCATCTTGCGAAAGCTTAGATAGATTGATCTGATGTCAAAACTGATATCACAATTTAAACTATATTCAACTTGCAAGAGCACCCTTCTTGACTGTATGTATTTACATATAATACATACTACTCTCATAAATAGTGAAACAAGATAAGGTGAGTAAAAAAACTGATGATAACAATTTGTTGGTAAGTTCATTTATTTTTTATTCATATGTACATGCAATTAACTGCAGGAATGCATGGTTCTATCGTGTATGCTTCCAATGTGCCAAAATGAGAGATATTCAAAGAAAGCATGTCGCGATTTTCCGGCATTATTTACACGAAAACAAAAAAGTTGGATTTTCATTTTTATAGCAACAGGTCAATTTCTTTTGTACTCTTTCGTTCATATTATAATACATAATGCAACTGCAACAAATGCATTAATTATGAAAAATCGTTGTTTAAGTTAGCAAAAATACCTAGCCTTCTATATATTGTTAGTAATAAAGTAATTCATAGTTTTAATTGCCTTCAGTCTTAGGTTACTTCAACGACTCTATTTCATTTTAACTCAAGGAATACGACATTGGACAATCGATTATGGGTATTTATAAATGTGCGCATTTTGGTAATAATGGTATGGAATGCTACTAGGTCTGTGCCAACAATTTTATGGCCTGCTTGTCTAATTATATGAATATTGTTTTGCTTTTCTTCTCTTTGTCCTATTTAGTCGCTTTTACACTTAAAGAACGTCCGGGAATGAATGGGAATGCGCGCTCTAGCGAGTATATTGACAAATCAATAAACCCGCGAACTATAATAATTTAAATTTCTGAAAGCCCACTTCATTAGGGTCAATTTGGTATATCACTCTTAAATTTCAAAAATGGATAAGGGTAGAAGAAGCTTGTTTGAAAGGGAGCTGTTAGCAAAACGAGTGATGGAGTTCTACAACACGACAGCCAACCGAGACTCCAAGGTGACCTGGAACTTTTTTAAGCAGGAAGGAATTCCAAGTTCAAATGTGTATTCCTACATAAAAAAGTTCAAGGATTCCGAAAATGTGCAATTCAAGAAGCCAGCTGGTCGTCCGGCGAAGCTAGCGACCACTCGAGTGAAAAATAGAATTGAAAAAATTTTCAAAACCAAGCCATCAACGTCAGTAGCTGTAGCTGCCAGGAAAGTCAAAATTTCCAAAAGCTACCTGGGGGAAATTAAGGTCCATAAATTAGGAATCAAAGCAAGGACCAAAAAACCTGCACCAAATTACAAGCCCGTACAAGAAAGTCGGATCAAGGATTGCTGTCAAAAATTGTTGAAGAAAATGCGTGGAAAAGTAGTGATCCTGGATGACGAAACGTATGTTCCGGTTGACCCTTCAAATCTTCCAGGGCGTCATTTTTTTCATAGCTCGGATCCCTCTGAAGTGGCTTATGAAGAAAAAGTACGAAAAAAAGACAAATTTCCAAAGAAATATTGCATTTGGCAATGCATCTCCAGTCACGGACATGTATCAGACCCGGTAGTTCTCGAAGGGAATATCAATCAAGATATTTATCTGAAAAATTGCGTCAAGGCTGGATTGGAAGCATTTATTAATAGGTTTCACAAAAATGATAAAGTTTTGTTTTGGCCTGACCTCGCCACTTGTCACTATGCAAAGAAAGTGACCGAGTACCTCAGAAAGAAAAATATTGATTTCGTACCAAAAGATATCAACCCACCTAATGTACCCCAACTCCGCCCAATCGAAAAATTCTGGGCACGTTCTAAGTCAGTATACTCCCGGCTTCAAGATGTGCCTGACACCTTTCGAAAATTCAAAGGACGATGGAAGAAAATCACCTCGGAAGTGGCAAAAACTTCGGGAAAAAATTTAATGAAAAATCTTCGCAAGAAAATCGAACTAGTCGCCAACGGGGGTGTGGCGGCCTTAGCTATTAATTAAATTATGTAGGTACGTATTTGGTATTATACATATGCAAAAAGTTTAAAATTCCGATAACTCATTGTGATTTTATGACCACATTTTCAGACCATTCCCATTCATTCCCGGACGTTCTTTATATTTATTTGGTGTCATGGTGTGTAAACCATGTGTAATGAATTTATATCTATTGACACGCGAATTAAGGCTTACTTACTAACTTTGCACTACACTTCCGTCCCCAGCCGCGAGGTTGTTCACAGACGATCCTTTGCCTCAGGAGAGTTGAAAATTAAAGAAGTAAGGGAGTACTATAGTCACGTGCTGATTCAATTATTTTTAGCGTGTCCGCTGAGGGGCTTCATAATACCCAACAGTCAACACAAGGAAAGTTCATCCGACTTATCTCAAGAAACTTTTGCCTGCACGTGGCTAAATTGATAAATCAGCTCGATCACCATTTCATTAGAAATTGACACGCAAGCATTACGGAAACACCATACATTGTTAATTAATACATTGTACATATATATCTGCATATA